TCAACCAGGTGCTCAAAAGGTATTTATTTAAAGAGTGTATGAATAAATGATGGCAGTAGCAGGCAGGTGTGGCCCACAAAGCATTGTCATCAGGCTACATCATCCTTGGCCCTTGGAAGGTAGCATGGGAACAGTTTCAGTGCCCAGATGCACTCCACGGGCATTTCAAAGGTGATTTTTCTGAACATGAGCAAATGAAAAAAAAAAAAAAAAACTAATAATTTCTTTAAAAGATGATGCAAAAATCATGTCTTTTGAAATTTCCTCCATCTAAAAAACCTCCTAAACTAACTAGTCCCTCTAGTTATGTGAAGAAAATTGTGCAAAATAATGACATAGGCTATGGATGCTAGTGGGTGATGTGTAGATTTTTGACCACTCAAACCCACATTCTTTTTTTTTTAAATAATAAATTTTATTTTTGTATTCCCCATACAATTGCAACCCCCCCATTCTGACCCCAATCCCTCCCTCCCGCCCCCACCCCCAAAAAGTGTCTCTGGTTCATAGTATTTTGTTGATTTTGATTTTCACTTTCTTATAGTTATTCATTTTCCTGGTCCCTTATTTAAGTTTTCTAGATTCCTGCTATGAGTGAGACCAGCCGGTATTTTTCTTTTTCTTTTTGGCTTATTTAGCTGAGCATGATCCCTTCCAGTGCCATCCATGTTGCTGCAAATTGCATGTGTTTATCTTTTTTGAATGCTGAGTAATATTCCATGGTGTATATGTACCACATCTTCTTGATCCAGTCATCTATTTTTGGGCATTTGGGCTGTTTCCAAAGCTTAGCTATTGTAAATAGTGCTGCTATAAACATAGGGGTGCAGGTGCTCTTTGGAATTGATGTTTCTGTGTCCTTTGGGTAAATACCTAGGAGTGGAATTGCTGGATCATATGGAAGCTCTATGTTTAGTAGGTCCAGAAATCTCCACACAGCTCTCCATAGTGCCAAACCCACATTCTTAATTACTTATTGGCTGTACAATCTTGATAATGCACCTTAGTTTGCTTAAATATCAGCTTCCTCTGTGGAGAAATGGAGTAACTCCATTGAGTTATTGTAAGAATTAAGGTTAACAGTGGCAGGCACAGAGCCTGGCACTTTGATGGCTCAACAGATGTGATTCCTTCTCTCACTTCATTAACACGCATTTATTCTAAAACCATAGAGGGAGGTGAAGTGATGTAATTATTGTCTAAATGTTCTTACTCCTCCTATTCAGAGACTTTTTAAAAACATGAGTTGGAGGATCTCTAAGTTTTCCACTCATTTTTTTCTAAGTGTCAGCTCTAAGATACTAAGTCTTATATAACAGAAAAACAGAGAAGCTGGGGGCTAGAACATAAAATGACTTTAATTACACAGACAATAGGATTTTTAAAAGGCTGTGGTTTTCTAATTATCTTATCTCTAAAAGTGGTTAAAAAGTACAACTGAAGAGGAGGTGGCCCTAGTTTTTGAAGTTACTGCTGTTTTAGGAGCTTTAACAGGGACATTTGTTGACTTTTTAACAAAGGGGATCAGGGAGGAAGGAGGAGACTCTGTCCACCAGGTAGACTTGTCTGTTTGATGTTGTCCCAAGTGAGAAAGCTCCACTTCTGAAATAGCAGTGGTGTCCTACTTACCCTAGAATCCAGGAACAGATGATCGCTTTCTTTCCTCATGTTCCAGTGGTAGAGATCAACCACTGTTTATATCCTTTAATACCTAACTAAGAGTGAAACCTTCACATCTGTCAGTATTTTCCACTTCCTTGGATCACAGTGAGGAGGAGGTCAAGTTTGAACCCCTCCAGTTCCCATGCACACAAGCATAGACTATGCCTAGGAGTCAAAGCTGTAATGCTGAGCAGAACTCCCCACTTCTCATCCACTGGGGTCTGCTGTTTGCTGAGAATTCTTCTTTTACTTTATCCTGACAGACATCTTGATTATTTCCATAATAATGACTCATGGCAGCACAAAGATCAAAAAGAAGAAAAGTAGGCTGGAATCAGGGGGAGGAAGAAGGAGGAAATGAATTCTAACAGAGAAAGTGGCTTCTAAAGACAAGTTTTTTCAAAAGATAGCAAAAATATTGTCAGAGGGCAAATACCAGAGGGAAGCAAGGTGGTGCTGAAGATCCTCAGGGTGAGGGTGATTTTTACTGATCCTTAACATTTCACTTTGGAAAAGTCAAAACAGAGAAAACTAAGCCCTTTGAAAGCAAGATGCTGGAAATACCCAGGTGATAAAGGGTTTCAGAGGCATTTTTTAACTTTCATTTTGGTCACCAGGACTATAAGCATATTGGGACTTTATAAATATTATTTTTTAATCCATCCAACAACTTATAAGGTAGCAGAACTGGATTTAATTTAGAATTTTCAAATAAATTAAGGCAGATTCTATAACCTTAAGGGGCATACATTCTATTGGGTGAAAGAAAACCTTCACAGAATACATGGATTAAAGGTTGCAATGAATTTACTTGATAGAGAAGGTAGGTGACTCCAGAATGAGATAAACCAGAGAGGAAAAAAACAAACAAACAAATACAAAACACTGTTTCAGGTCAGGAGCGTGGGGGTGGATGAAAAGCATTCTGGGTGGTACGATAAACAGAGGAGCTGTGGATGCTTACTAAAAGTGCAGATTCCTAAGTTTTACTCAAAAGTTTCTGACTTATTGTTAAAGGGCAGAAAAAAAGAAATGTGTATTTTGAACTGAAGCCACAAGTAATTCTGATACAAACAAAAGTTTGACAACACCAGCTTACAGAGATTAACATTTTCCAAAGATTGTTAACAGTATTCCATTAAAAAAAAAGTTCAGTTTCAAATTAGGAAGCGCCACACATTTAAGTATTACTTTCTTGGAGATTTATAATTCATCTTAGTATATGAAAAGCCCCACAGTCAAGAAATCAATTTCACTTAATATTTACCAAGCTTATCTTTCACTGGGGAAACATCCACACACACTATGCACCTATTAAGACCACTCAGAACACTGGTGTACCCTGGAGCACAGACTAGGAAGAGCTGAAACAGAGGATACTGATCAGGTAAGTTTACTCCCCAACTCCACTGAATGCTAAGGAAATGTCTAGAAAAAGAAAGCAAAGTCAATAATCCCTGGGGATATGGCAGCATTCCCTGATTTCCTCCGAAGTCTTAAAACCACCCGATATATACTATTTTCCAAGCAGGCAGCCGAAAGCTCCCTTGCTTTCAAATAACACACCATGGCTCTGTGAAGTTATTTCTGGTCCCCAACTCTCTGTGGTAAGCACAGCTGCCAGAGAATGCAGAAGTGCCTAGAATTTCAAAGCATCACAGAGCAGAAACAGAAGGGGTGGTATCCTTGGCCACTTTTCTTTATCTTTATTGCTATCATATGTTCTGCACAGAGCACTGGCTTATAGTGAGTTGCTGATAAAGTTTTTAGAAAAATAAAACTTTCTTCCAGCTCCAAAAGAACTCTCTGACAGTCAATGAAATTACAAAAAGACTGAACTTAAGAAATTCTCACCCCTCCAACATGCGTATGGTATGGGAGGAAGTTTCTTTAAACTTGCTTTCCTTCTATGCCATCAAGCCAAGGGAGTCTGCTACAATACTCCACCTTCTTCCTTAACTCAGGTCAGCAGAGATAAAGAGCATGAGGAACTGGACAACTCATGGCAAAAACAGGATTCTGAGCAAACTGGTTTGTGTGCTGAATATTTCAAGATGTACATACCGCACTCATCAATTCACACACTTTGCTTTTTTTCTGGTGTAAACTTAATTACTTCCATACACCCCACCTCAACTTGCCATATGCCACATGAGGACATCTTTCCCTAGCCCCTCCATCCCCCATCTAGAGATGGTTTCAAATACTTTTTTTTAAAGATTTATTCATTTATACAAGAACTGGGGTATAGGCCAGATGTGCGGGAGGGTGAGAGGATTCACCAGAGCCAGAGCAGGGAACAGAACAGGCAGACTGACTGAAGACACTGCTGAGGGAAACAGCGGGTGAAGCAGGAGAGGTCTGGCAAGCTGTGTGGGTTTCTCCCCAGCTGGCAGGGAATTGAACCGGCGCTATAGAGGCTGCGGACAGCTTCAGAGTGCTGCACTCAACCCTCAACCCACTGTGCCACAAGAGAGGCCCTCAAATACTTTTTTTTATACCCCAACCATCTCAGAACTTTTGAATACTTTCCAACAGCACAAAATTTTTTTTCAATCATTTTACAAATATTTCCCGAATGCTGACAAAGTTTCCAGGGCACTGCACCAGGCACTGGAGGTGCACCACTGGAAGCAAGGGTTGCTATTGAAGCTGGGGTCTAAAGAAATGAAACCTAAATTCAGCCTGTTGGTGCAGGGGAAATCCAATCATCATTTCATTTGATGATTTCATCAAATTTCTTATATTTCATAAGGAAATATAAGAAGTGGGCTTATGCCAAGCTTCCTGGTGGGTCTAGAAGTTACATGAGGGTCCAAAGTTAAGAGTTCTATAAATTAATAATCTATGATCAGGATAACAAAGAAATAGGATCTTTATTTCCCCAAATGCCAGCTCCCTGTTCGTTTAATCTCCAAACAAATCCATGGATTTTCATACCAAGATTTCTTAACCTGCAATATGAATACCAATCATTGCACCACAGTTAATGTAATTTTAACTAATTAGTGAAAAAAATAAAAGCATGGAGCCTAGTCCTCAGGAAACCGGCAAGATCAAGCTGAGCATTTCATCAGGTCAGTGTTGCCCAGCACATAGAATGTGCACCATTGAGGTCGACAAAAGAGTTGTAAGTGACCCACAAATGAATTGAAAAATTTCAACGAGGTCCTCAGATATAGTAACATAAAACTGCAGGTATGTCAGTCAAGAAATGTAGGGCAGCAGCAATATGGGGGCTCTCCAGCTGTCAAAGGCAGTCTGGAGGAAGCATCTGCGACCCTTCTGAGCTCGAGCAGGACATGATCAAATAACCAAGAAGCTGGTCATGGACTTACCCACACACGTTGGAAATATGTCCTCATTGTTGATCTGGACCTCGATCCAATCCATAAGAAGGTTCATGTACTGGGGAGCCGGCAAGGCAGTCGGCTTCTTATATTTGAGGTCATCCTGCCACCGGTACTCGTATTTGGGGCCTCCTGACATCACAGGGCAGGTCTGCTCCGTGCAGAACTCACAGATGGTGCCATAGATGAGGTTGATCCTATTGAAGAAGTCCACGACGTGCACTGCCACCCAGTCATTTTGGTCCTCCCCACTGGGCAGCTGCACGGCTGCCTTCAGGTCCACACCTGAGTTGAGGGACGCCTGAGCCCGTTTGTGGAGTTCAAACCTCTGTGTTCCAGGTTCAAATTTCCTCTTGGGCCGGAAGGTCTTGTCCTTGTTGAACACCTGCTTCAAGGCAATAGACATGGTTTCCTCCTTCTCTTTCTTTCCTTTGCAAGAAGTAAAAAGGCAACTGGAACTTTTCAGTGAGAGATCACAACCCAACAGGGTTTTCCACTGCCAGCCCTCTGGCCCCAGTCTTGCAGTGAACAACTTTTAATCTCTTTTAAGCAGCTCCTTCCATCTTCCTCTTGAACAATTTCCAGGAGAACCTCATGTTTCTTCCTAAAGGCATGAGAGAAAGTGGTCTCATCAGTGTTTGGTTTGCATTTAGGAAATGGCATAGACTTGATTTCCACCTGCTCCTGGCTATGCCTGCTTCCATCCAGGTATAATGCTGCTGAGAATAAGGCAAACCCCTAAGAATCTGTATTGGTGATTCTTGCAAAGAAAAGGCATCACACCCTTTTCTTCACAGCCTTGGCCAAACCTCTGGCATATCTTACCTGTGGGAACTTAGGTTTAGTGGCTCTCTCTAACATGTCAGGATGACAATGTTAGTCAATGACACATCCCATATAAGCTCTTTTTTACAGTATCTGCTCTACTGCTGTTGGCTCTTATTGAGTAAGCTTCAGGGCCCCAATCTTTCTAGATATAGCTGATTGGAGCAGAGACAGTTATCACACTAGCTAATAGCTCTATTGGGAATTTGGAATCAGGCCCCAACTTTTGTTAGACATTACCCTTGAGAAGTGGTGGAAACTGGGTCTGCTTGAACTCTATTTGGACCATGAATAATGTAGTTGAGAAACCTGGTCTATAGGTAGGGAAGGGTGGAGAGAGGAAGGGGAAGAGGAAGAAACCACTGACATACTATGAAAGAGACAATAGCACAAGTGGGCATGGCAAAAGAAGGCAAGGGCAAAAGAGGAACAGTGAGAAGCACCTGGTAATCTTTCAGGAGTTGATTCCTTCTGAAGCCTGGCTGTGTTTCTAGATCTTGGGATCCAAATGTTTTTCCTGAAGTAGTTAAATAAAATAAATCCTTGTTGTCAGCTAACTTGAGTGGTTTGTGTTTTTTTTCCCCAAGAATCCCTGACTATCACAGTATTTATCAGCTTTACAATGCGCATCCTATATGTTCCTAACATCACACTCTAGATATAGCACTTTAACTCAGAGCTATCCAAGGAAACTTTATGGTATTGCAAATTTTCTGTATCTTTGTTGTTCAATATTGTATCCGCTAGTTACATGTGGCTACTGAACACCTGAAATGTGGCTAGTGAGACCAGGAACTGAATTTTTCATTTCATTTAAATTAAATTAAATTCAAAGGGCCACAGGCAGTTAGGAGCTATCATACCATACAATGCAACTTTGAAATCAGCAATGTTCTCTTCTCCGTGATCTTATTGGATCCTTACAAAATTCTGTAAGGTTTATACATTTGGAGTAGGTATAGCAGATATGTAGTAGGCATCATTATCCCTGGATCTCCAAGAAATAAAAATACTTGCTTAACAGGTCCTATGGCATCTAGTAGGGTACATGATTAGGATTGAATTTCAGTTTCTTGATTCTGAGAATATGTTGTGGTCTAAAATTCTAAAAAGTGATACCCTTCAATCTGTATTTCTTGCTGGTTCATGAAACTCTTTTACCCAGAGCTTCCATCCACATATTTCCCCAAGGAATACTATGATAGTATATTGATAGGTTGGCTGGCAGTGAAGACTGTGCCCTGTGTTCTGGAGGCAGAGGAGATGTGATCCACTCATGGGTCAAGCCTTACTAAAGTGAGATACCAGCCAAGGCCAGGTTCAGAAGGGGCCATTATGGACTCAAAATACCAGATGGTCTCACTCATAGAGGAATCTAGAAAACTTAAATAAGGGACCCGGAAAATGAATAACTATAAGAAAGTGAAAATCAAAATCAACAAAAAACTATGAACCAGAGACACTCTATGGGGGGTGGGGGGTGGGGAGGGGAGGGATTGGGGTCAAAATAAGGGGGTTGCAATTGTACGGGGAATATAAAAATAAAATTTATTTAAAAAATAAATAAAATATACTTCTTAATGTAAAAAAAAAAAGAAAAGAAAAGACTTAGAGCACTATTCCACCAAACCACTCTTTCCTACCTAGAAGGGACTCTATGAATCCACCCTCAAGCATGGCTTAGTGATACAACATTAGTGATTCAACATTAAGTTATTCAGCTAGTAGGGAGGCATGTAATTATTTAATTAAAAAGTAAATAAATTATATATAGGTGCACATACATGTGTATATATATTCTTACTTCCTCCATCTTAAAACCCCACCCTTTTCCTAAAAGGTTTTCATTGCAATGCTGTGAGTTGTTTTCTGGTTTGTTTTTTTTTTTCTTCTTCTCATATTGTATTGAGCAGACAGACATACCACAAAGGGACTCATGTGGAAAGGCAGGTCACATGACACTTTCTGTCTGAGACGATGAAATCCCACTCCTGGGTACTTCAGAATATCACCAGGAAGGGTATCACCACATAAACCCAGAAAACTCTAGGGAAAGAAAGGGGTAATCTCTTCTTCAAAAGAATACTTTCCCAAAGGCTTAACCTGCCTGAAAAGAGGCTTAAGAAAGCTGAGGACCAATAGGGCATTTCTAAAATAAAAATATGAGCTAGAGGTTGGGAAGATAGAAAAAGGATGATGAAGTCTTTTTTCTTTTAAAACAGACAATAGTCCCTCTGTGTTGTAAATGCTTAATTACTGACAGTCAAGCAGTAACAACCCAACAGCTGCCCCCTCACGTCTCCGGCAAATAATACTTGCTATTCTGCTATTCTGATAATGAGGGTACCATCAATTCCCACGGTGCACAGAGCCATCTTCTTTCATCACCTTATAGACTCAGTATCACTAGCTCTGCTGTTTCCCATGGCCTGGAGAGTCTGCTTCCCTGGACACATGTGGAACCTTCCCCCATACCAGTGCCAGGCTTTTGTGGACACCATCAACAGGCCCCCCTGGCACCTCTGATGAGAGTGTGTGAATGAGACAGGTAATCACAGCAAAACCTCCTCAGCACAAAGCCCTGCAGTGGCTGGTACTCACAATTATGTAAATAAATATTAATATTTTGTTTGAGGTTTGTGGATATTTTCCAAAGATATTTAGATAATAAACTTCAACATATTAGTCTCTTGAGCTGGATGGGAATTTATTCAAAACCTTAACTAGCTTTAAAATTACTCTCTCTTTTAATAACTATAAGAAAGAAAATATCAATATCAACAAAAAACTATGAACCAGAGACATTCTATGGGGGATGGGGAGCAGGGAAAGCAGGGATTGGGGTCAAAAAAGGGGGTTCTAATTGTATGGGGAATATAAAGATAAAGTTTAAATAAAAAAAAATTACTATCTCGTTTGGCCCCAATGTAACAGGTTTACATTGGGAAACCATCTTTACTTACTGAAGGAAAAACCATCTTTGAAGGGTTATTTCACTACTGAATCCTTTAGTGAATTGTTCTTGGCTATCATTTATTAAATTCTACTATGCATTTATTAAATTCTTCTACTGTCTTGCAAGCATGGTGGATGCTTTAAAACTGTTTTATATAAAAAGAAACAAGCTCAACTAGATGAAATAATTTTTGCAGAAGTCACAAAATTAATAGATGGTAAGGCTAATTTTTGAATCTAGACCTCTTTGGCACTGAAACATACAATTTTTTTTTCTCACTGAAGCTGTTTTAAAATCCTAAGTACAATTTTTATGTTTTCAAAGTTCCTTTACATGTAGAGTCAAAGCTCCTCACAGCAAGACTATAAAGAAAGCTAGAACAGGTGGTATTATTATCTCTACTTTCCAGGGGAAGAAACAGAAACTCTGATCTCCTAGTGTTTATTTCAAATGTGTTAATAAGTCTGACATGTTCAGACATGAGGATGTCTCTTCTGGTCAAATATTTTTATCTAGAATGAAGTTCTCTAGGGAGCGTGGTCTGTGGACAGCAATGCTGAAAGACAATGACAGCCCAGGGTGGATAATAGCAAATTCATCATGTAACTGTGTCACTGAATGAATAAAGAAAGAGGTCACTTTATCTGAGAATCAGATGCTATATTGGGGCAGATACTCAAAAGAAAATGAAGAAAATATGAAATCCACCTGGCCTTTCTAGCCTAGAACAAAACCACTCATAATTTATATTTTAGGTTTTTTAAATGGTTAGAGAAGTGCTTTTCAAATAATAACATGGGATCTTCTAAAATGCGGGTTCTGTTTGTAGAGCTGGGTAGTGCCTGCTTGTCTAACAAGTTCCTTAGTGATGCCAGAGTTTGGGTCCATGGATGGCATTTTAAATATCAAGAACTGATCTAAATTAAAAAGGCAGACTCTTGGGCCTCACCACAGACCTAATACATCTAAGTCTATATATTAACAAAATTTTAGAACCAGCATATACTTTAAAGAGTACTGCGTTAGAGAGCTGCCTGACTGGTTAGGTAAAGGGATGACTAAAACTTCCATTTGTTGTTATGTTAACAGTTTTATTTAAAAACATAGTTGAGAGAGAGAGAGAGAGAGACAGAGTCAGAGACAGAGAGACAGATGACAAACAGAATGAGGATTCACTGTTTTGAATACAATAGCCTTGACAGGTGGTGATGACTGATTTTTTGATCAGGATTGATTTGGCTACCATGGGAACCTGTCCTAGGAGGTCCCCAATGAATACCTTTTCATAAATGCCAGATGGAATGCAGCTACTGTCACTGCTGCTGCAAGCTCATGCAAAAAAAGCTTCTTTGGCCAAATACAATGTAGTACTAGTAACAACACAGTCATTATTCTTTGTCCTTCTCCAGTCTCCAGAAAGAAACTGTTAGCAAATTCTATGTTATGAATAGCACCCACTACAATTCTGGCTCTCAATAAATATTTGAAAGCAATTGCTCATTCAATCAATAAACATTTACAAAAGGTCTTTTATGAACCAGACACATAGGACTAGGCACAAGGTCAGAGAACTAATTAAAACTTAGTCCCTGCCTTTGAAGAGTTCACAGTTTGCTTTTGAGCAATTAATTTTTAAGCAAAACTGTATTTGAACAGAAAGTTTTGAGGTTATTATTGGTTTCTGCTTTTTAAGCTACAAAGTTAAATGCACTAACATGGATAGTCATGTGATTCCTTCACAGTATTAGGTTAGGCTAGGAATGAAAATGACATTAGAGTAAGGTCTTATGGAAAGAGAAAAATGGAAATCCAAATAAACAGCA